AAGCTGCTCTCCCTGAGGAGTCCGATCTGGACATGGGCGCGTGGCTGGCTGACTGCACAGCTCATTAGACACTGGTAGAGGCAACACTGGGTTTGGCAAAAACCACACTGAAAAAAATCAAAAAATTTTAGGGACCAATTTCCAACTTGCTGCTTAAAAAAAAAAAAAAAAAAAAAAAGCCTCCTAAAAGTTACTTTGGGAGCTCTGTGGTGTAGTGCCTGAGGCATTTGACTGCTCACCAGAAGGCTGGCGGTTCAAACCCAACAGCCACTCCTCGGAAGGAAGGTTGGGCCATCTACTTCTGTAGAGATACCGCCTCAGAAACCCAAGGAGGGGTCGCTATGAGTCAGATTTGACTCAGTGGCAGTGCGTTTTAAAAGTTACTTTATCTCACGGCCTCACAGTACCCTGGCTTTGCTGGGAGCGAGATAAGTGTTACTTGGTGGGGAAATTTACTCTGGAAAGCAGGGAAGGACTACCATTGCCGGCATCGGGGTTTCAAATCCCATCAAGCAGGCAGCACCCCCCCCCGGGCGTAGCATCCTCCTCTTTCTGCTTCATACCGACCTGCGCATGTCAAATCCGAGGTGAGGGCAGGTGCTTCCTAAGACCTTTCACTGACCCTCACCTGGGTAGGGATTTGACCTGAGCCCTCAGTAAGGATACTTAAAAAATATAATCTCAATGAAGAATATTGGGCAGGAGTTACTATAACAGGGTCACTAGAGCCAGGTCAAGATGCTAAATGGTCTGTTACATTCTAACACTAAAACCACACAGGGACCCTGCACAAAAGGCAGCTGTTACGACTATCTTCAGTGGAAATGTGAGTAAGGGGAAAAGCTATGGACCCTGCTAAAGAAAACTACCGAGGACTTTCAAAAGCCTTTAAAAAGAGTCTGCATTAAAAAAACAAGATACGCACACACCCAACCAACAAATTGAGGCTGCAGTGTTGGAAGACAGGTGAAGCAAATGTGGAAACAAATATCGCTATGGCGATGAAGGTATCCCAGAAATGGGGCACTCATGTTTCATGCACACTCAATGGACGTTTATAACCGGGGCTACGTCCGGGTTTGGCGGAAACTCAGCAGATCTCGGGCACCTGTCATGTTGACAAGGGATTGCAAGGGTACACAGAACATCTACACGAAGCATACGGTGACTCAGTGAAATGGCACTGCATCATGGACGGTCACACATGATCGTCTCTGAACTGGAAACCCAGAACACTGTCACTTACCTTCACATCTTTGAGCAGAAATCCCTGATAAACTGTCTCTGAGCTTTTGGGTTATTTGGCTAAGAATGGGGTCCGGGAACATTTTTATTGCCCATAGCTGTTTCACAGAGCAAGATGAAAAGCTTCAAAAAATGTAAAGGACACTAGTCGGGTCTGACTCCACCGCACATAACAACATAAGAGCAACAATCATGATTATTACTGATTACAATCATCCTAAGTGAGGCTGTCTCGTTTCAAGTCAAGGACAGCGCTGTCGAAAACAGGGCACGAGCCCCACAGGCTTAGCTGAAAACCAGTTGTCCATGGTATATACTCTGTGGCTACATCAGAAAGGGGAACCCACCTATGTTAGAGGGAGAAAAAAATCTTTTGAGAGAGTCCACGGGAAACTGGATTTTCAAAAGCAGGGCAGAATTTTGGCCTTTGAGAAACACAAAATATTAGTGGGAGAAAAACAAAGGAAAATGAGAAAAGTCTCTTAAGTCTAAAATTGTGTGGCTGGATAAGCTATGCCCTCCCCTACTGCGTCACACAGCTCTGTGGACTGCATTCTGAAAACAGAAATGTGGCTGTATCAAAAAGGAAAAAAAAAAGGAAACAGGAAAAAAAAAAAAAGACAGCGAGAGATGCTGCTGGAAGATGGAGCGTTCTGTATCCTGTGCACTTGGTGGCATAAATAAATGATCGTACAATTAATTGTGATTCACTGTATGAGCAGGGTGACCACATTACGCTGCCAGCACGACTGAGCTCGATGCAGAGAGAGAGTCTAACCTCGAAGGTCCCTTTGATTCTTGAGAGACAGGGAGGGAGCCACATCCAAGTATGGTTTTCAAAAACGTGTCTCAGGCACCCAAGTTACATACAGGAACGGTGTCTTAGTGGATGACGTGGTGTATGGAGAAGGCTTCATATATTCCAGCCTGTTCACTGTGCTATTGACTGATACCTTTCAATAGACACTTTTTCTTTGGCAAATAACCAACAGTGTGATGATGCTATGAGGGCAATAAAGATGCAGAGGACACACACTCTCACAAGCATCTTAAAAGCAACAGACAGGTCCATGTGTTGTGCACTAGGGGCCATGTCATGGGCAGGCATCTGCTCTGTGTCTCCAGTGGAAGTGATGGATGGATGGCTTGTTTCACACGTTGGGACCAGAAAGTTAATGCAAGCCTTGCCTTCAGTGTAGTAGCTCACATCTCCTCTTTCCTCCTCCACCCCTGTCCCATGAGTAATGCAGACCCGGATGGGGTGTCTGTCTGGTCACTTAGGCACAATGAAGCCAGTTCAGAAAGTAAAGGTGACAGCCTGTACCAGCTGCAGCCTGTTTTCTGAGCTAAGCTGCATCCCAACAGCAGCTCCCAGGGAGCCAAGGCAGAGTCCCAGCAGGGTGACTGCAGACTATTTCCTTTGCTAATGCTTAACCTCCCCTCCCCAAGCTGTAAAACAAGGGGAGACAAGGGACACCCTCATATTCTTAAGACTTGGCCCCAGAGGGGGGCACTTTGCTGCAGGATTTGGGTAGACATACTCTAGGGTAAAGCTTTCAGTCTCTGCCCCTCACCCCCCAGAGAATAGAAGACCCCAGGTATGGAACTAGGTGAGGCCTTAGTGGAGGGCTGCTAGGAAAGCTGTATTTCATAAATGAGGCAATTGCAGCCCCAGCATGAAGGGATGCTGCCACATAGAGGCTGAGTGTCCACGGCCACTTGGGTCTCCTGTCTGCACCCAGCTGCCCCCTCCACTCCCCCCCCACTCCCTCCATTACAGGTTTGCTTCCCAGAGCTCTGCCTGGAATGTTGAAACGGGGCTGCCGTGACAAAATCAGCCGTCTGCAGGGAGAACTGTGCATCGTCACCTAAGGCTGGGTGACTTCAGTGCAGCTCTCTCCCTTCTGCATGTTTTTTTGGAAAATGATAATGTCATTATTGCCCTTTGGAGGGCATAAGTAAAGTGGTAATCACGTTAAAAGCTAGAGGATGCGGGAGACACATCTCACAACAGAACACAGCTATGTCAATAAAGCCATTAATGAGAGACCACCACACGTCATAAAGCATTTAACAAACAAATGTAACACAGGCTCAGAAATTGTGATCTTGCAATCCGTTGAAAGGTTTTTAAAGAATGACGTAAAGAAATTAAGATCCCAGAGCTCCGTGTTAGAAATTTTCATTGAAGCCAAAGATTCAGACCATTGCTAATTGCTGCTCTGAGGAACTGTGGCAAAAACAGTTAAATGCCCCAGACTTGGGGAGGAGGGGCTAGAGACTTGGGAGAGTGGGGTGAAGAAGGGGGCCTTGGAGAGGGGAGGGGACACTCAGAGAAGGAGGGAGGTGGGGGTGCCAAAGGTCCCTTTCTGGTTAGAACAGGATTATTTCCACTTGGATCACATGTTATTATTTTTATTTTTTCATTCCGAGCCCAGTAGCCCTGGAGCTTACCTTGAAACCTCCCAGCCCCTAGCCAAAGCTGCTTGGAAAAACTCAAATGGCATATATCTTAAGTCATAGGCAGTCTTACCACATTTTGTCCACACTTGTAAGATACACTCAAAGGTTTTTTTTTTTTTTTTTCTTTGCCCCCCTTCTCTTTATTTTAACGGCATTTCAAACACCAGGATGGCATTCCACTCCTGACACACAAGCCCCTCTTTTTAAACCAAGTCCCTCCTCCTGCAGTTTACAAAAATGTAAATGATTGGTTACCTTGGGCTCTTCCCTAGGACAAAAAAAGAACCAGTTTATATATCTTAAACACAGCCACGCCCACCCCGTTGGCACCAGCCCAGACCTGCTGCAGGCTGAAGCCTTTTTCCCTCCACCCTCCATCCCCCACCAGGTGAGCCGAGTGTGTGTGGAATACCGAACGTGCGGTGCAGCCACGGACACCCCAGATACCTGTGCGTCTGGTTTTTTCAAAGGCGGGAGGGTTTGGCGAACGAATGAGAAGTGAGGACAAGGCTTAGCGCAAACGGAAAACGAGGGAGAGAGAGACACAGAGAAAACAGGTTATGGAGGTCGGCAGGCAGCGGCCCCCTGTCCCGGGGCCAGCAGCCCCACGTCTTACCGGGTCGTCCTGCCACATGGCTCGCTGCATTTCCGCGCTGCGCGGCGCCAGCGCACAGGTCGCACCAGGCGTGCGCCAGCACCGAAAGTTTTTGCCCGCGCCCCGGCGCCAAACACAGAAAGCCTGCTCCCCAGGACAAGTACACAGTCGGCGGAAACTCAGGGTGGGGGATCGGGGACCACGAGAGCATGTCATGCACAGGCGCACACAGAGAATGAACACCACACACCAACGACACAAGCTGTCCGAGTCCAAGCAGCCGGGCCAGGCGAGGCGGGGCGCCCTTCCCAACGACCCCGGCCACCGCGCCCCGGCCACGTCGCCAGGGGAGCCCCGGGCCCCTCCCCAGCGGGTGCTGGCTCACTCGAAGCCCCCCGCCTGTCCCGCCGGCCCCCACCCCCGGGGCTCCGGGGCCGCTCACGGTGGGTGCGGGCGCCGGCCTGTGCAGCCACAAACGACCCTCCGTGTCGCTCTGCGCCGCTTTCCTCCCCGGAGGGTGCACGCTGCACCCCCTCCTGCGCCCCGGGCAAAGTTAGGGCCCCTGGCTCCAACTTCGTGCAGACGCTCCTGCCTTTGCCCGGGCCCTCCTGGGCCGCGGGCCCTGCGCCCCACCAGGCCGCCCTGCCGCCCTCCCGGCCGCCGGCGGCCCCGCTCGCGGGCAGAGCCGCCGCATTACCTAGAAGCAGCAGGCGGTGCGTACACATGTACCCCATCTTTTCGTCCTGGAGCTGCTTGTCGATGATCGCGCTGCGCTTCTTCTCTGCGCGCTTCTGAGCACGTTTCTCCATTGCCTCTTTGCGCTTCTGGCGCCGCTTCTCCGCCAGCGGCACCTTCTTGGCTTTGGAGGCGCGGGCTCGGGCCTGGGGGCTCTCGGAGCGGCTCCCGAAGCAGCCTCCGAGGGCCTGCGCCAGGAAGCTGTGCAGCGCGCTGCGGCTCTGCTTGCGGCGGCGGCGGCCGCGCCGGCACTGGCCCCAGAAGTAGCAGCCGGTGCCCTCGTCGGACTCGTCCCCGCTGCTGGCCTCGTCGTCGCTGCTGTCGGAGCCCTCGTCGTGACGGCTGCGGCTGCGGCCGCGTTCCGCCTTGGCCCGCCGGGCAGCCGCGCGAGGAGGCACCGGACCAGGCAGCTCCGCAGCCTGGATCTCGGGGCTGGGGGGTCGCAGCAGCTGCAGCTGGGGGCGCTCTCCGGCGGCG